GTTGATTCAGATTGCCCTAATTTTCACCTGATGCTCATTTCCCATCTGAGCACCTCATCTACATTTAGTCAACACTTTGCCTGGGGCTGTTCTCAGCTGTTGCTTATTTTAATGACTGACAGATTTGGAAGAACTGGCCATGTGTTTTATAGAGTATCCCTGCTGTTGTCTGGCTGGTCTGTTTTGTTGTTGTTGTTATTATCAATAGGTTTTTTGTTTGTAAAAGAATAGGCTGAGTGTGCTGATAATTTTTTGTCAATTTGACACAAGCTAGAGTCCTCAGAGGAGGGAGCCTCAATGGGGAAATGCCTCCCTCTCCATAAGATCAGGCTGTAGGCAGGACAAAGGCATTTTCAGTGATTGATGGAGAAGGGCCCAGCCCATTGTGGAAGGGAAAGCACCCTTTGGGTGGCAGTCATAGGATCTGTAAGGAAGCAGGCTGGGCACACCATAAGGAGCAAGCCAGTAAGCAGCACTTTCCCAGGCCTCTGCATCAGCCCGTTTCCAGAACCCTGTCCTGACTTCCTTCATGATGGACAGTGGTGGGAAGCACAAGCCAAATACAATCTTTCCACCCAGCGCTGCTTTGGTCATGGTGTTTCATCAGAGCAATAGCAACTCCTAACAGTGAGTCTCAACCTATCAGATTCAGTTCATATCAGCACATGACCCCGCCACTGTATTCGACTGATTTGTGATAACATTGTATACATGTGTAATCTACTGTGATGTAGCATCAGATCTCCTGGAGCTGCAGCTACAGGCAGTTGAGAGCCATCTGATGTAGGTGCTGGGAACTGAGCCTAGGTACTCTGAAAGAGCTGTACATGCTCTTAATCGCTGAGCCATCTCTCCAGCCTCTGTGATTTTTATTTTAATCTAATCTAATATTATGATGCAATGTAGGACAAGAACTGAGGTCCGGATTCTGGGCCCATTTTCGTTAATAGACTGTTAATGAGCTTTGTCAGTCACCTCCCTGATCCCTCAGGGATTTTGTTTGCTTTTTTGTTTGGTTCTAATTTGAACATACTTTTTTTTTTTTTTTTTTTTTTTAATACTGTGTAGTACATGTGTGTATCATTGCCTCGAGCAATATGTAATTTTTAGGTTTAAGTTTTGGTAGCTGCTGACCTTTAAGATTGTGTGAGATGGTGCTGTGAAATTCTGGGTGGCATGATGAAGGGCATTGTGGCTTCCGTGTAGATGTTGAGGTCACTTATTCAGGTAAAGCCAGTTGCCACGATGTGGGGACACACCAGTTAATCTTTGGGGAAAGGATCACGTAGTGAATGAGTGAGGGCCTTGCCTGTCCCTAGTACTGAGCATATTGAGACCACCTTAAAATTCAGTGCCAGCCAAGAATCTTACAATCATATGCCTCAGACATCCATGACCAATGACAGACTCTGTGACATCCTCCTAGAACTCCAGATACCAGCAATTCAGTGAAAAGAAATTTGTGCTTGTATTAACCCTAATGGCATGTGCTTCAATCCCAGCACCCTTTAGGGAGGTAGGTGCGTTCTCTTTTGAGTTCAAGACCAGCCTGATCATCCACAAGAGCTAGGTTGCAGGACAGGCTCCAGAGCCACACAGAGAAACCATGTCTTGAAAAGCCAAAGAAAGAAACAAAACCAAACCGTGTTACAGGGCCTTCCTGGGGAAGCATGGGGGGTGCTGCTGGCTCCATGCCCAGGTTCCTCCCCCGACTTGAACCACAATAGCTTAGCTTTATCTGCACTTTACACACTGAAGGTCCAGGCAGAATTTTGGGGAATAAAGTCTGCCGCCACAAAATAAAACTGAAAACAAAGGTTTGGAGAAATACCAGATTAGATGTTCTCTATAATTCTTATCTCTCTGTCCTATGATTGCCCCCCACTATTTTTATGAAACAACCCTTATAAAAACAAAATCAAAAAACCGTCATGGGAAACCTTGTTTTTTTCAGTGCTCATTCCTTATGCCATTAAATAAAATTTAGAGATAAAAATAAGTTTACCAGGAGTTGCCCCTTTCTGTGGATGAGTTTGATAGAGCTTAGCACCACAGATATGGTGCTGTTTGTGCAGAAGCAGCGAGCCCTTCCCTGGGCATAGCTATGCAGGGACTCATGGGTTTGCTTGTCATGCGTAGTTAGATAATGATATGAATATCAGGAATAACAGCTGACATGTTTATTAGATTTTGCCTGTGTGCATGCAGATGGAGGTCAGAGGACAACTTGTCCACCACGAATGACCCAGAGGTCAAATTCAAGCTGCTGCTTTGGTAGCAAGCACCTTGCTTGACCTGTTAAGCCCTTTCCCTGGCCTGATGCTAGTTTGACGGCCGTGTGCCCGATGTCTTAGACGGGTTTAATATTCATGACATCATTCAATCCTTATGTCTACTGTAAGATTTTTATAGACCAGGGAGACAAAGGCTGATAGGTTAAGTGATTTTCCAGTCTGAACAAGGGAAGCTGTAGTTCAAAGAATGTAGTTACAGAACCCTTGGCCTCGAAGACTATGCCCGCCAGAAGTGAACAAGCTCCTCTTGGGGTTTGAAATACACTGGGGTTCAGCTTCTCTTTATTTACTGACAGTGCTTTTAGTCTGAAAACAAAACCTCTTCTAGTGATTGTCCCTAAGTTTTCCAGTGTCTGGGCAATTCTAACGACCTGGAGTTAGAAGTGGGGGGATTAGCCAGCTAACAATCTGTCCTGTTACACTACAGATAGTAATGTAACATTGGCAGTTAGACCTACTCCAGCAGGGGACCTGGACCCCGGCGGTGCTAGGGGAACAGGGCTCAGACCAAGGGTCACACAGTAGCTGTGCAGGTGGAGCCCATGTCTGGAGGTTCAGAGCCCGATATCCCTTCTCTGGAGAGGCCTAGCAACTGCTGGAGCCCAGCTCCTTTAAGGAGTTCCATAAATACCGTAACAAACACGTAAAGCAGTCCCTGGACAAGGCCAGCTGGATCTGTAACCATGCTGCAAATGAAGCCAGGAACAGAGCCACCTGAAGCCTCAGGTCCCATGGTGCATCCTGTCTCTCTCTGCCTTGGGTCAACTGAACCCTGGATGAGGAAATGCTACCATAGAAGCCAGCAAGAGCACAAGGGCCCCAAAACCTCCTCAGTAACCTCAGAGAGTTCACCACATTCAGCTGATGTCAGCTCCTCGTGCCTTTCTTCTGTCTAGGTGATGGGCTTCACCAATGCCTTGTTTCCCTCCGGTAGAGCCGCATTTTCTTTTTGATCTTCCTAGGGAGGATGATCGATCACCCAAGTAAAATGTGATGGCATCCAGGGGCTTTGTGCCCTAGCAGAAAGGCCTGGCTGCAGTGACGATCGCCCAGAAAATTTGTACACTCTAATCCCTGGGGATAACCTGGCAAGACTGCTCAGTCTCCACATACAAGGTCCTGACACCCTGTCTAAGATCACCATGTCACCAGGTAGCCAGAATGACACCCAGCACCCTAACACTGGGTGGTAAAGTGCTAGGGTGAGGGTCCTCATTTTGTCCCCAGCTCACCAGCCTGTGCCGGGATACTCAGGGAGGGCAGGCTGGGAGCAGGGCAAAAAGGGTCTAAAGTTTCACAGAGCAAGATCAAAATGAAACACCATCAAATTCACAAAAGCAATTTTTATTTGAAGCAAAGTCTGACCCAAAGGTCTACAGTTTTGAGCACTCAAAACTTAACTGTTAGTGGCACTGCTTGGACTACAGATCTTGCCTCTCTTTGGTTTGAAAGAGAATGTTAAACATACTTCACCTGGGTAAGAAGAAAGACCAAGAAAGGCTGAAGAAAACCCTTCAGCTACTGATAATGCTCTCCAGAGACTACGTCACACTAACAAACCCTCATTGTCTGATCTTCAAGGTTCCACCCGTGCAGAGGGACACAGGTCACACTACAGCTGCAGGGACAGACGAAGCAAGAACAGGTGCAGCTTCGTGGGGGAGAGTAAGCTCCCAAGCTTCAGACTTCTGCGTGGAAGGGGTAATCCTTGTGTTTAACACAGCTGTCAGAAAAGAACACATGTACCGTACAAGTCAGCCACTTTCAAAGACTGTGTTCGCTTAGTCATTCAGTGTGTGTATGTAACTGTGGGTGTGCACGCTACAGGTCTCATGTTGGGGTCAAAGGACAGCTTGTGTGAGCCTTAAGGATAAAGCTCAGTTCATCAGGATTGGTTGCAAATGCCTTATACACCGAACCATCTTGCCAGCTCTCAAGGAAAAGATTTTGACTGTGATAAGTCACCACACTGAGAAAAGATGTGATCATGAGCTGAGTCTCGAGACAACAAGCCAGTCTTAAGTCTGATCATACACACAGCTGAGATAGCGCCTCAGCCTGTAGGCTCCTCTTGTCTGGTGATGTCGGGAACCGGGTGCATGTGCAGACTGCACTAGGCCTGGGGGCACCCTGAACAGCAAGACCTGACTTTTGCTTCCTAGTAACTCAAACTAGCTGGCAGGATCATTGGAGCACCTTATCATCTTTCTGTCATTTTAAAAAGACAGGGCCTGGTGTAGTCAGGCTGGCCTGCAATCACACCAGGAGCTTGAACTTCAGATCTTTCTGCCTCCAAGCCCCAAGTGCTGAGATTATAGGCATGTGACACCACACCCAGCTCATCTTATCGCCTTGAATGAATGCAGAGAAAAAGAGCAGAGATAATGAGGCAACAGAAGGACTAAAACGCTATAAAAGTTGAGCCCAAGGGGCAAAACACACAGCAGTGGCTTCCAAGATAGAGGAAAGGGCATTTCTTTGTTATTTGGAGCAAACTGAGCAGCTGCTGGGGATTTGCTGTAGGAACCAGGGGAGTGCCTGGCATGTAGCCAAGACTCACAGTAGGGCCATCGCTTAATCGGCTTATACCAGGGGTGCAGCACAAGGACATACGCGCACACACACACACACACACACACACACACACACACACACACACACACACGAAAAATAAACTTAAAAAAAAAAAAAACAGTAAATTCTGCAATGCAAGTCAGAGACAATATCATAAAATGCCAGATGGCTCCCTGCTCTCTGGAGTTGGAAGAAGGGAGGGTAAATAAGATTTTTAAAAAGGCTGTTAAGTTATTCCTCAGAAATGCACATGTTTTTTGTTAATGTCGTCTGAAGTAGTCCTTCCTCTCTAGAACTTCTGAGCAGTGGTTCTCAACCTTCTTAATGTTGCGACCCTATAACACAGTTCCTCATGTTATTGTGACCTCCAACCATAAAATTATTTCGTTGCTACTTCATAATTGTAATTTTGCCTCTGTTATCAATCATACTGTAACTATTAGATGCTCGTGATACCGGTATGTAACCCTGTGAAGGGGTTGTCGCCCACAGGTTGAGAACTGCTGCTCTAAGGAGAAGGGCATTGTTCTGTTTCTGGATAGCCCTGGAAGGTGCAAGGGAGGCAAGCGGGTATGAAGGGTCAGCTGGGAAGCACAGGATTTGTCTGTCCCAGAATCTGCCATGTACACCAGCAACGGCAGGGGAAATGCAAGGCTGAGGGACTACTACAGGTTCCAAGAACTGAATGGATGCCACAGGCAGGTGGTTCACATGTCTCTAACCCATTAGATCCAAAATAACAACAAAAAGATCCCCATGTTAAAAGGCTAAGTGTCATTAACATAATATTAGGAAGGGTCCTGGTTGGGACTCCTGGGCTGGCTCTGTTTATGGCCTACTTTGAACGTGAGGCCCCCTGTGACAGCAAAATGCAAACAGGTAATCTCAGCCTGAATCAGACTTCACTGCCTAAGACACACATGGTGCTAGCGGCCATAGCCACCGTGTGAAACACTGAGCCATGCAGAAGCAAGAGAGAGCAATAGCCAAAGAGTGTGAGTGAGAATCAAGGCTTGTAAGAAAAAGGGGCATGAGAGCCATCTGGGACACAGAGGCTGCTTTTTTTTTAAAAAAATTAATTAATTTTGCATACTTATTTATTTATGTGTATGAGTGCTCTATCTGCATGTAACTTTATGACTTTATGCCAGAAGAGAGCATCAGATCCCACTTATAGATGTTTGTGGAGCCAACTTGTGGGTGCTGGGAATTGAACCCCGGGTCCTCTGGAAGAGCAGACAGTGCGCTTAACCTCTGAGCATCTCCAGAGATTACTTCTTAAAGCAAACACGTTCCCGGGGCTTGGAGGGTCCAAGCCCCACTTCAGAGGGAAGGCAAGGCACTCAGAGTCACGGGGCCTTTTCATGTCAGGAGCTGAGGCTAGCTGAGCCCAGCAACAGGCTTGTCCACAGACTCTTTCTCTAGGCATTAAGTCAATTAAGTGACATGCAAGCTATTCTAGGAAGGTGGGCACAGATTTGTCGTAGGATCATCCGAGGTCAGAAAAGCAACTAAAATGTGTAAGCTGGGCCCCCGTGCTCTAGCAGGAGGGAGAGACAGACACCGGACAGACATTGGACAGCTGTCCTCCCCAGTTTTCACTATGCTCCTGGTCTGCACAGATTAGAAGACAAGGTCTGTGTGGAAGCAGGGTGGGCTGCAGGAGGGCCCTCCAGGGCCTGGAGAGATGCCTTACTCTAGACTACCTGGTGGTGTCACACACAGTGACCGACTCACTCACCTCATCAAGGCACACACCCTCCAGTTCCTGTTGTAGCTCAGGAGAGTGGTCATATCCTCCTTGCTCAGCTCGAAGTCAAAGACCTGACAGACACGAGAGGAACAAAATGAGCTCTGCAGTCGAAGCAGAGACCACACCAACAAGTTCCAGATGGGCTCCCACTGCCCGGAGTGCAGCCGGCAATGTCCATTCATTCTTGTCCCACTACATTCTGTGGTGATGAGTGCCAGGGGGAATTTAATGAGGAACCTGCTGCCTCCATTCACCAGCAAGTAGAGGAAGGAGGCGCTCAACAGTGGGGAACCTCCAATAGTCAACGCCGTGCTGCGCGAGATGAAACAAAGCCTTCAGGGCTGCCCACAGGCTTCAGCAATGCATTGCAGCCGGCCCCGGAAGGGTGCTGCCTTGTGGAGCTACTGTGGGAGACGGCCTAAGGATACCTAAGGTTTGACATTCAGAGCAGAAAGACAGACTGGGATAATGGCATCACTTCCATGAAGACAAAAGAATACAGGAATATGTAACGGGCCCCCAGACCTTAGCACAACTGACTCCATGACGGAAGCACCATTCAGGCTAAGACAACACAACCAGCCAAAATGGCCTAATCCATCAAAGTCCATAGCTCTGGAAAAGCTAACCTTGTTTTTCTGGCTTCTATAGTTCTGCTTCCTGCTAACTATTCCTGTTAACTAAAGTATGTCAACCTAGGGTGTAATTTTGTGCTTAAAACCTCACCCTGAGAAAGGCTTAGGGCTACAATGGGATTCCAAACACCTAATGTACCATGGGCTGGCTAATAAAGACTTTCTATTTGCTTAAACCCATGTCTGAATGGTCTTCTGGTGGAGAACACAGAAAGGTACTTAGGTACAAGGTGGGCACGTAGACAATTAGGCAGGATGGCCTTTGGCAGCACTGGGGTTTGGAAATTGACCTACATCCAGACAAACCATTCCGCTTGGCTCCTGATGACAGAAGGTGCATTTGACAAGACTCTGCTACATATTCTGCGATTACAGCCATGGAAAAAAAACATGCAAGGCATGCACGTAAGATGAAATGACCAAAAGCAAAATCACCAGGTTAGTATTTTGAGATTTGCCATCTACCTTTTCTAATACTTTAGAAATGAAATATGAGGGTGAGGGACAAACCCATTTCAAGCAGGATAGGCCTTTCTTCCCACATCTTTACAGTTAAGTGGCATGGTCATTGTCTAGGACGAGGCAGGATTAGCTGCTTATTGCATCATCAGAGCCACCCTAACCATGGCCCCTCTATAGGCGACAATATGCATGGGGCTGACTACTAAAGAGCACTTCCTAGATGCTGCCACACTTTGAACCAGATCTCAGCAGTGACCCTTTGCTTAGAGAAGACAGGCTCATGGGGACACCAGGACCATCCTGGAGTAGCTCTTCTCCAGCTGTTAGGGGGGGGGAGGCCTGAATGCCCACACCCTGGTGTCCAGACATTCCTGAGCCCTGTTCACGACTACTTCGGCACTTTACAGGGCCAGCGGGTCAGCAGACGCCCTGAAAGGCCCCAGCAGTCCGCAGTCACCAGTAACTAGCATAGCAGCATTTCCCCGAGCTTACCATGGAACAGGCACTGTGACATGCTGTGCGCTTATCAGCAACCTGAGCTTCACAATAGCTCTCAAAATAGGCATTATTTGACTCTGAGTGCAGTCAAGTGACTTGCTCAAAATCACACAGCTGGGGATGGCTGAGGAACCCAAGAACCCCACCCTCACACACCACAGTGGAAAGTCAGGTCTGCCAGCGGGACCTTACCTTCAGGTTCTCAGCAATTGCGTGCAGGCGTCACAGACTTGGGGATCACCACCAAGTTCCTTTGTATAGGGAACCGGATCAGCACCTGTGGGCCCAGAGGCGCTGAGTGTGTGCACAGATACCAGGTACTCTGTTATCACCTCAGTCTACAACTGCACAGGCAGAGAGGTTCAGAGACCTCTAGGGTTGAATCAATGTCCAAAGCTGACTCTGGAGTCCTGCTCTATCGGTGACTCCAGGCATGTCACAAAGCCACGGTAAGCACTGCCTGGGATTCACACTACCTACGGGAGTAAGAGAGCCTCCTCCCACAATGCAGATAGTAAGAGCTCTTCTGTTTGTACAGGGATGAGCTTTCACAAACACTAGCAAATGCTGGGCCTATGTCTGAGCTTTACCCATAAAGGCAGCAGGCACATGGCAATTAATCCATGTAAGACCAGACCTGTGCCCTTAATACTGCATTCTAGAACTCCAAACCACACTTCCAGAGAGGGCTTCATGGGCTCAGCTCCCTCCACAACCGACTGACAGGGACCACCGGGAGTCACAGTTCGGGCAACAGTCTCAAGGACCTGGAAGCAGCCATACCTGAGCTGTGGTTTTGTTGTACTTGGATGCAATTGCCTTAATCCTGGGATCCTCCAGGGAGAGAAGGGTCTTCAGGCTTGGCCCTGGGACAGAGAGGTGGTGAGGTCATTACGGCCACTCAAGGCAGCTGGCCACCCTAGCCCCTGACTCTCCCTGAGACTTCTGGGTGGTTGACTAGGCTCCTGGACTGAGGATGGGTCATGATCCACCTGCTGACCTTCAGAAAAGAGTGTTCATCTTGCTTACAGAAACATCAGCCTCCCCAGGAAGCCCAGAGGCCCCAGAGAAGGTCTGCAGGGCAGCACGGATGCACTCTCCGTGACAGTCAATCATTCCTTCTAGTCAATTCTGAGTTCCCACAGTGACCCTCTTGGCAGCTCACCAGGGCCTGTCAGGAGAGCCAAGAGGACTGTACGCAGTTACCACAATGCCTTTGGAGTGGCAGTACTCAATCAGCTTCTCCTGAGTTAGGTACGGGTGGCACTCAATCTGCAACACACACAGGAGGGTTGACTGTGACAGCGGACAAGTTAATGCGATGTGGACAAATCCCTTCTCTCCCCACACAATCTGCCTCCCGGATAAGCTGTGACAACTCGAAATTTCCCAGCTGGTGACCTTCACATTGAGAACAATGATTCTATTACCAGTGATCTATGGCCGCAAGCCTTTAAGGCACTCCCTGGCCTTGGCCACTTGCCACCTGATAAAAGCCCCGTCTCACTAGCTGCCCACTGCTGGAGTCAGAAGCCACATCTTTGCTGCCTAGCCTCAAATCCTATCCCTGCAAAGTCTCCACTCCCAGACGAGCTTGTCTGTCATGATAAATCAGATCACAGGATTGCCTCAGGTAAGAGCATCCTCCTGGGGGGAGGCCTACCTGATTAACAGCAGGCTTATATTTTAAGCCGGGTTTGTTTAAGATTCTCTCAATCTGAAGAGGGTTGAAGTTGGAGACGCCAATGGATTTCACCAAACCTTCATCCACAAGCTGCTCCATGGCCTAAAAAGAAAAGAGCGGTCTTCCTGATGCTAAGTGAATCCCAGGATGACAAGGACTAGATGCATGCCTGTGTGCAGGAGCAGTCTGTGCCCTCCCCATTCACGGTCAGCACCTTCTGCCTCTCAGAAGCTGAGAGGACATGAAAGCTAGACAGATAACCATGGAGACAGGACGATGTATTTATATACGGCAAGAGGTGGCGGAGCTGACCACACACACACGTGCCTCACATGCAAGACTAGGATATCAGCAATAAATAAATAAGGGAGGATCTCAGCCAGAGTCCTCTTACCGTCCAAGTGTCCACAAAATCAGTGTCGCTGGGAATCACATTTGCTGATGCATCCAGTGGGAAATAATCAGGCCCAGGCTGTTATTAACAATAAAAACACACACAGACAAAATGATCGGGTACCAGTTCTTCACAGACCTATTTTAATCTTGCAGCATTACAAACACAGTGGAAGATAGTGAGAGGCAGATCTGGCAGCCAGGATGAAAAGGAAACCAGAAAGTGGCCGAGGGAGGTCCTTGTCATGACTGGGGCTCAGAGGCTAACAGATGGAGACTAGACTCGCCCATGTCTGAGACCCACCTTGCCATGGGAAGAGTGGAATGGATAGGGGAAGGGAGCTCAAGGCTGGGAAACTCAGGGGCCCACGCCTCTCTCAGCTGCCTCTTCAGGCCCATAAAACTGTCACCCTGCCCATCTCTCACTGGCTTGTCATTCAAACGAACAAACAAACAAACAAAAACAAAGGGTGGAAATCAAGTCCCTGGGCCCAAGAGAGCACAGTGGGCTAAAACAGATCTGAAGAAAAAAACCTACACCCTTTCAATATGGGTAACCGTGCAGAAAACAAGCCAGGGGCTAGAGGCAGGAAACGTACTGAATGAGTCCACGGTGCAAAGAACCGGGTTGTGACATGCACTTACACATTGAGAATGACATGCAATGGAGGCACAAACACTTATGTGTGAGCATTGGGTGCAAATGCCCCGAGGAGGAAGGGCATGGGGCTGACTGCTTCTGCAGCTGTGTGCAATGCGGACGACAGTAACCACATTAGCCGTGCTCATCACCAGTTTTAAATTCCACAAACACCCAGTGAAAACAGTGGTATTCCCCATACTCCAAAGGTGCATTCAGACGCTGTGGGAGAGGCACGGGGCTGGTTTCTAATATGTTATGGGCGATGCTACACTGATGCTGGTCCAAGGCCCACACCTCTAGCAGCAGAGAGTCGACCACCCACGGTATTCTAATAAGGAAGACCAGACCACACCTGAGCCTCGGGGACTGGATCGCAGCTGGGCCTCTTACCTTGAACCCTGTTGGCCAGTGAATGAGGTAGAGGTCCAGGTAGTCCAGCTGAAGGTCGCTGAGCGTCTTCTGGAAAGCTCCTTTCACCATGCTCTTGTCGTGGAACGTGCACCACAGCTGAATCCAGGAAAGGTACATCTTACCCCTGCTGCGCAAATGCCTCTTCCCGGCTGGGAGGCACGCAGCTCCAAGGCAGAGCACACACCTCCTCTCCCCATAACCATGAGGCTAGCAGTGGCTGGAGAGTTCCCAGTTCACACTGTGGACCCCAACTTTCGAAAGGCAAGGGGGAGGGTCAGGACAAGGGCACCCCACAAAAACCAAACATGGCACAAGTCTAGAATGGACAGGCCAACTAACTACAGGACTGGGAGGTGCTAAACACACATTCTTCATCTACTTTCCTGCCAAGCTGGTCCACATGGAGCCAGCCTCACATTACAGTCTGGGTTCCTCTGTGCAGCCACAGCCTCTAGCTAAAAATACAGGCCGGCAGTGAAACCCAGTCTGTAAATGGGAGCTAAGTCTGTCCCTGAAGAAACTCCTTAAAAAGGGAGTCAGCCCCCCAACAGGTCTCATCAGTACAGGGCTCTCTAATCGCTAGGCCCAACAGAGAGATAACCAGGCGGCCAAGCACCAGGCCCGCTGTGGGCTTGAGCTGGACCTGGGAGAATCACCCACACAGCGCTAACTGCCATCATGGTTAAGTGTGGTTCCCATGGCGAAGTGTGAATCGGACCCCAGGATTCTCGTAGGTCGCTTACCTTGCTGACAATGAAGAGCTCCTGGCGCTTCACTACCTGCGCCTTGAGCTTCTCCTGGAGGGCAATGCCCACCTCCTTCTCATTCTGGTACACCTGGGCGCAGTCAATGTGGCGGTACCCAATGTCAATGGCAGCCTTCACGGCCTCAGTCACCTGGCCAGGAGGGGACTGGAAGGAAAAGAGATTAAAAATCAGAACCAGATAGGACAGAGTGGAGCCAGAGCCAAGGAAGAAGAGTAAACCGGTGGTGCTGGGTCAGGTTCTTCCTCTGCCATCACATTTGTGTGGCGGCATGCCACTCAGTCCCAGACGGGACCAAGGTGCAATGGCATGTTTCTTCACCTTAGCAGAACCTGACAGCCACTTGCCAGCAGCACAGATTGCTCGAAGCCTGGGACACAGGTGTGACCCCATCAACTCTGGGGACAGAGGCTTGAGAGTTCTGAGGTTTAGGCCGGACTGGGCTATGCAATGAGGCCGGTTTCAAAAAACATAAAAAAAAATCCCCCACTAGCTGAAATCTTGGGCACCATTTCATTTAAACAGCGAGGACATTTCTCACACAGCAAGAGCTAACTGCTGCTGACTCAGTGGATGAGAACCCAGTCTAGGAGGTGGACACGGAAAGATGACCCCGCAGAGGTATTAGCAGACAGAAGTTGAGTGGAAAGGAAGGCAGAGCCTGCAGAGCCCTGAGCCCACCGGCCTGTGCCCGCCCCCCCAGCGGCTCTCAATGAGTGTTCACGAACTCCTGGCTGCTCCTGCCTAGACTGGAGAGCTGAACAAGGCACTGTGGGACACCACTGAGGAGCACAGCGCATTCCTCTGGAGAGCTGGGACAGAAGCAAATGGAAAGGAAAACTCCCCAGGGCCTCCAGCAGCTGCCAACATCTATGTTGTCTGGAGCCCAGTGAACAAAACAGTCTGGGGAGAAAATAAACATGGAATACCAGAACAAGCTCTCCACCAGCACCTGGGGCAGTGGTATTCCCTCACCCAGCAGGGGGAGGAGTCTGCCTGCCTGGGGAGAGGCCACACCATTCCCCATTCTGAGGTGGTGCCAGCTGCCTTTATCCTTTAGACTGTTGGCACCCTCTCGTTTCCTTGTAGAAGGCCCTAAAGTGCACCTGTGGCTTTTCCATACTTCCGAGGCTGAAGGAACTATTTCGGCAGATGCAGGAGGACCCCCCCCCCCCACCGTGGGCTCTCTGGGGCATCCAGACACAGCTGTGGCTGATATTAGCTGGGAGGGAAAGCACTTCCCTGCCTGAGAGGGGCCTGGTGAGCTGGAGCTCTGCCTCAGGGCACATGCTGAACTTCTAATTTCTGCCAGGATTTATGACACTTCCCGTTGATTCTTCTCTTAGAGGGCCTTCTGCTGGCCATGTAGGAGCCTGCTTAGGGCTTGGAAGCACCTGGCTTTGGATAGAGCGCTGGGAGCAAGATCCAGGATGGGCAAACAAACGTCTGCCAATTCCAAACGGGATTCCAAGTGTGAATCACGTGGCTATCATGGGTACAGCCAGTGAGGCCCCACCCCTAGCATAACTTGGTCTTTCTGTTCCTCAGAGCTAGAGTGCAGACTGCATTAATCAAGGTTGGCAGACAACCTTGTGTGATGTTTTCATGGGAAGACGAAGACGGATAAAGGCTGGAAGTCCCAAGAGGCCAGGGAGAAAGCCTGCTTCCCCACACAGAACCCTGGCAGCTTAGTAAGCAGACTTACATCTGCCACACTCACAAGTCTCTGACAGAAAACCCACAGAGAGGTCACAGTGGGCCACCTTTCATGCCCTGCCCTACCCAATGAGCACCTTCCATCGCTGCTGAAGATGAAACCAGCCTCGCTTGTTTTGACTGTCTAAGTACATTGTACAGCTCAGTAACTTAAACAGTAATTCCAAGAGATAAAGACTGAGCCCTCATGAATGACTCCTCCCCAGCCTTATCACGCTGAAAGCCTAGAACCGGGTTTGGCAACAAGACTAATAAGATGTGCTCTACGGTAACAAATCAATAAACCTGCCCTGATTTTAAGACACGGCTCCACCCAACAGAGATGTGGATCCAGCACCGGGCCCTCCACAGGATTTGACTATTTTTGATCCTGAAGATGGGCGAGGTTGAGGTGTGGACTGGGCACTGGCGGGCAACCAGGAAACCAGATTCTGATTTTAAGGGCCACAGCACTTCTTGCTGACTCCAGACTGCCGATGGAAGCTTGCTTTAACTCAGGGAGTGGTAGGAAGAATCTTGCATAAGTTTTTCCCAGGGACAGGTACTATCCCAAAGAGGCAAAAATCAGACTTGAAAAGAAACCCTGTCACAGCTCGAGAATGGCACATGACCCTCCGATGGGGCTACAGGGCATCTGGCTGGGGTACAATGAGAGGGTGTTACCTGGAGAGTCTGAGAACAGAGCTGTCCCTCTACTCCTAACAGCACTCCCAGGCTCCTCGTGGCAGCGACAAAGGCCACGTCCTTACGAAGAGTGTCAATTAGGTCAAAAATTACCAGTAACAGGACTCTGGTCTGTATCAGGGGTTAGCTCTGGCTTAAAGGCCTCCCAGCCACACAATACTATGGGAGTACTTACTCTCCCGTGGGAAGGCAACCAGTCAGGAAGAAATTAAGTAAGGATGTGTCCCGACTGCCTGAAATCCTGGCCTCTGAGGAGAAAGGCGCTATGAAGGTCCTAAAGGGAACGGTGGGTCGCAGACTACCAGAGTCCTGCTGTTGGTCTGTTGGGTACCGCAGAGCCACTGTCATTGCTCCATGAGAACAGGTAAACTGCATCCGAGTGCCCTCTCCTGCGGTCGTCACAGTGATTATATTACCGTTTGTCTTCTATAACGGAACACCCACACATACGAAAGTGAAAGTATTAGGTTGGTATTCTTGTTTAAAAAGGGAAATCTGCAAGTCCTCCCTAACCTCGTCTCTTTTATTTCTACCCTTCTTCCCCTCAACACTTTCCTAAACCAAGCCCTCACCTGGCCCCCAGAAACACACGCGGGCATTTTCTCTACCTAGTTTCCTCTCTAGTGGATTTCTTCACCTTAAACCTAACACTTGACTTCTGGATCCAATCTTCCAGCCAGGCACTGTGGGAAGTGACAGGAATATCTGTGAAGAGGCTAGCATGACTTAAACACACAGATGCATGTCCATTTAAACAAGCACCCAGCTCTCTGGGGGGCTGTTGCATGCTCTCCAGCAACCCAAACTTGCAAACTTTTAACTCCTTACGTATCTGAGAATTGATCTGCAAATGCTGGCCCGTGGAATGGTTTTCTAAAGTTATGACCATATGTAGAAATGGGATAGGGATTAGTTATCAGTACACACAACCCATATTGTGGGTCAGGTCTTCCTTCCAAAACTTCTACTGTAGCTACATGTGCCTATGTGTGCTGTGTCCTGCAGATCCACTGACCACAGCAACCATCTTTCTCTTCTTTCTAATTAATGCACGGAATTCAACCTGGTATGGCTGTAATCCAATCACACCTTTAAAGTTACTGGCGGCCCTCTGGAAACACAAGCTACACGTACTGATCTACCGGCCTAGAAACAGGCTCAGAGAAAGACAGGTCTACCCTGTTTCGTATTCACTATATACGCTACCCATTTTTAACTGTAATGCGGATACAAACGGACTCTGTCGAGTTTCAGGCTATTGGAGCTCAACCCTGCTGTGCTGAGGTTTGGGGGCTGTGCCACCTGAGGCCACAGGAATTCTCAGAGGACTTCCACACCCGTTACCAGCTGCGCCCAGTGCCTTCGGGGACAGACAAGCAGGCGAGCTCCTGGCAAACCCTCGCCTCCTAATTTAATCATCTCCGGCCCATGGGCCCAACTGGCTCATTCCCGAGAGGGCGACATCCGGGCCAAGTGAGGGCGAGCCATACGTGAGGCTGGGGCGCCACGGGGGCCTGACGGCAAAGCTTGGGGCTCGGCTCTGTCCCTGTCGCCGGGGTCCCCGTGGGTGTGTCTCCACCTGGGGCGCCCACGCGGCCTGGCGCTGCTCGCCCCGAGGCACACGACAGGCCCCGCCACTCGAGCCCCGCTCGGCGCAGGCCGCTCGGGGTCACCCACGCGGGTGGCCGGCCGCGCCCCTCAGTGTACCCACCTTCCAGGTGCCCAGGCCCAGGGTGGGCATCTTGGCGCCGCTGTTGAGCTCCAGATGGCTGGCCATGGCTGTTGCACGTTACGCACCAAAACCGGCAGCTGTGCAGCCCCGGCTCGGGCGCGCACCTTTAAATAGACCCAGCGTCCTGCAGAAAGGAGCCTACGATTGGTGCACGGCTGAGCAAAGGCGCCTTCTGATTGGTCGCCACCGCGGTCCATGTGGGGTCAGCGAGGATGCTTCTCCCGCAAGGTCCTAGCGGCACGGAATTCTCCAGCTGCTTTGCCTGCGCCCCACGTGGCAGAGCGTGTTTGCCTACTGTTTGTAGTACCAGAATGTGAATCTTTTGGAAATAAGCCGCATCCTAAAGAGACTGGGAAGGAGTTTTGGTTTCATTTTAGAGCCCAGAAGAAGACGTTTTTGTGTCTTTTCCAATCCCTGGATGAAACTTTTCTGGAATCCCACACTCCTTGTTTTCAATCTGATGGAGCAGATAGGCTACAGGTGTATTTAAGTGCGCTTTTTCCCCCTTTCTTAGATCAAAATGTTTATAACCGGTTTTGCAGAGTACCACAAAATTCACCCTATCCTTTTGTGCAGCTTCCTACCGCCACCGGTGTCTATACACACTTGATTTGGTTCAACAAGCCTCGAAATAAAATCCATTAACCGTTGAGGTTAATGGATAACCTCATAAGCTTGATTCAAGACACACAAAATGACTCTTTAAAGTAAGACTGTTGAACTGGCAGGTCCCAGTAGAGTAAGCTGGCCAAACTCTGCAAGAAAAGCAAATGGGGTGGGGGGGATCCCACAGAAAGAAAAATTCCCTCTCACAGTGCAATGATTCCGAATTAGGAGGCACCAAATAAATTGACCAGTTGTACTAGGTAGAAATACAGACTCTTCCTAAGATAATCCAAGTTGCCCCAAGACCTGTGGAGGCAGTTTTGGTACTATTCCAACACCCATCTGGGTGATGCTCTATTTCATCCCAGTCTCCTTCAGCTGGGTCATGCTCGGTTGCCCACTCGTCCCCTGGTCATGCAATGTAGCAACTTCATCTGCTGAGTCATGAGTCAGGAACCCCCACCTCTCCAAGTCCCATTCTGGTGATTTTCCAGTCAGTGCCCTCTTAAAAAGTGACACTCCTCCACAACCATCCCAGGGAAAATTTATAAAGAACAGATACTTTTCCACTTGAATTTTATAAAAGAAAAAAAAAAAAGCTGTTGGCATGGGGAAATTCTGATGTAATTTTTCCCTAAATAATTTTCCCTAAATAATGGAATTTGAGTTTGAATGTAACGCTTGGTGGGGACTTGGTTTGTAGGATAGCAGATGGCTTGGCCCACCACTTGTCTCCTGTTAAGCCCCTCTAGGCATTCAGAATGCTCTGCCAGTTGAACCTCTTGGATCCAAACACAATGAGCTGATGTCTTGTGAAGCCATATACCTGCTCTCTTTACTCATCATTAAGAAAATTAAGTCAAAACGGACCGAGATGTTGTAGTTAGCCTGGTAGTGAGGTCCTGTCTCAAAAGATAAAGAGGATAATGCTACCACTACAACAAAGCATGTATCTTTCATGACAGTATATGTATGTATGTATGTATGCATGTATATATATATATATATATATATATATATATATATAAGAGTCATCACCAGTTATGGGAATGCACTATGTTCTAAAAGCTTTGTTATTGTGAAATAAACTAAATATAACATTCGATTGTCTAAAACTCCGTATCTTGCCTGGACTCCTCAAATGTGGAAAGACACACCTGTGGAATTCTCCTAGCAACCATAGTGCCAAAGTTGAGGCACACATTACAATAGTCTCCTGATGATGGCTGTTGCCTCCATAATCTTTGTTAAATGTATTGTGCGGGCATCAAATTCTTCCTCAAAGGAGAATATGGCCAGATGTGATAGTGCGGGCCTTTAATTGGGAGACAGAGGAGTGGATCTCCTCAAGCTCCAGAGAAAAGCCCTGAAAGAGAACCTTTCTGTAAACTTTCTAATTTAACTTACCATACTCTGACACACTCCCACCACCCTAGGAATTATCTCCTGGGGAGAACTCAAGGGAACACAAACAGACCAGAGGGCAGGATGGGGGGAGGCAGAGAGGGGAAGAGAGAGAGAAAAAGCAGCAAGCTATACTGTAGGTATAGGTGTGAATTTTCACGAGAGAAGTGAGTCCTGCCTGAGATTTTATTCCCAGAACACAACCCAACCCTACACAGACTTCTGTGCACATGCACACAAAAACCAACGCAATGTACATAGAGTCCATCTGCAAATGTCCAACAATGACAAGAGATTGAGTTCAGCATTACATGGGAAGACAGTATAGACACAAAAAAGAGTCTACTTGAACTTTAGCTGCCACAGATGCCCAGAGTATAAAGCTCCTGTTTCTTCCAGTTTCCTCTCCCTCCTCTCCTCCTGCTCCCCCACCCCCAACACTCTGTCTCCACTTGGATGGGTAAGTTCTTCCATGGGAATCAACAAAGCATAAAAATTTGAGTTTCTTGTGTTAGTATCCACAGTCCTGTCTTCAATCTGATACAACTCTGGGAACATACTAAAAAGCCATCGTATACGCTTAAAAGACGAATTATGATGTGTGTGAATTATACCTCAATCAAGCAGCTATAAATAAACTAGCCAAGGCTGCACGTTGCACAGCTCACGGAGGCTGGTGGAGATGAGCTGTTGGGAGAATCCCTTCTGCACTTCTCAGTACCCCTGGTACGGTGCTCTCCAGTGACTGCTTATTGTTACGACGCCAGTCTTCAGAGCTTGTCCCAGGAGAACCAAAGGGAGGGAGGGTCTCTCCTAGTTTGCTTTCTGGTGCTGTGATAAACACTGACCAGAACCACCTGGAGGCAGAAAGAGTTTATTTGGTGTACAGGTGCCTGGCACAGTCTATCAGTTTGAGAGTTCAGGGGAGGAGCTCAAGCAGGAGCAGAGGCAATGGCTTGCTTCCCATGACTTGTTCAGCTAGCTTCCTTGCATAACACAGGACCACTTACCTAGGGATGTCATCACCCACAGTGGGTTTGACCCTCTCACTTCAACTGTCAATCAAGAAAATGCTCTACAGATATGCCCATGGGCCAATTTGATGGAGGCATTTTCCCTGTTGAGACTCTCTCTTCCCAACTAACTCTAGTTTGTGTCACGTTGACAAAAAACTAACCAGCACATAAGATCAAAAACATCAATGACAGCTTATGCTGGAGAGAATGCAGAAAAAGGGGAACATCCTACAATATGCAGGCAAATGGACAGAACTAGGGAAAACCATCCTGAGTGTGGTAACCTAGAACCAGAAAGACAAATATAGTGTGTACTTACTCGTAAGTGCATACCAGACATAAAGCAAAAGATACCTAGCCTACAATCCACAACTCCAGAGAAGCTTGAACCCTCTTCCAGAAACAGAAGGATGCAGAAATCCACAACTAACCAATGGGCCAAGCTCCTGGAGTACAATTGAAGTGAGGGAGGAGAGATAATATGAACAAAGGAGTCAAGACCATGATGGGGAAACCCACAGAATCAGCTGACCCCAGCTAGTGAGAGATCACTGACTCAGGTCTGACAAATGGGGAACCTGCATAAAACCAAACTAGACTCCCTGAATATATATGACAATGGTGTGGCTGGGACAATATATGAGGCCACACAGTGGGTCCAAGATCTAACTCTGATGCACAAACTGACTTAGTGGAACCCGTCTATATTGAGAGGTACCTTACTCAGTCTAGACACAGGGGTGTGGGGGTGGAGAGGTGTCTTGGTCCTGCCTCAATGAGATGATGGGACAGACTTACTAGACTTCCTAGGGGAGGCCCTACCTTCTTGAGAAGCAGATGGGAAGTGGGGAGGGGGTAAGTGTGGGGGAGCAGGAGGGAGAGGCGGGGAGGGGGAACTGGGATTGGAACGTGAAAAATAAATTAATTTTAAAAACCAGGTCAAGATAAAACAAAACAAACTAACCAGCACACTTTGCCTATCCACAATGATATGATAAAGTGTCACCATGTGTGTTAGGAAGCAGAGGCACCTGGGATATGGAAAGGATCAGGAGTCTCTTCCACAATGACAACTACTGAGCTCCTGGCATACTTCAAGCATTGAGTTAAGCACTATACAAATGCAACCTAAAGGTAATGCTATTGCCAAATGTAATACCAGCAGTGATAATAGCTACTATCCATTGTGCTGAGCATGTCTCCAACACTATTCCGGGAGCATTGTGTACACACTTTCATTTTGTCTTTATTGTATGAGTACAGGTACTACTAACACACGTTACATATAACGGAACATGAGAATCAAGAAGGGAGACGAATTACTAATGTCTTAGTAAATGTAAATGCATGCTTACAGTTTGAACCCAAGGAATTTGACTATAGAACCTGTAGTGTCTAGTATTAATTTTTAGTTTGGTAGCATTGAGAATCACCTGTTAGATGGGCCTCAGGGCATGCCAGCGTGTGTGTGTGGGGGGGTACTATTCTTGATTATATTAGTTGTTTCGGGGAGGCCCATCAGCTGTGGGTGGGACCATCCCCTAGGCAGGGATGCTGGGTGCACAGGATAGACAGAGCTCTGAGCATCATCCTCTACTTTCTGGTTGTGTATATGATGTGGCTAGCTGCTTCCGGTTCCTGCTGCCTTGATTTCCATGCCATGGTGGGCTCTAACTGTCAAACCTTTTTCTCCTTAAGTTGCTTTTATGAGAGTATTTTATCAAGAAAGAAAAAAGGCAAACTGAGACCGAACTCAAGCTCTCAACTACTATAGCAGGGACTTTCAATTTGTTAAAGCATGATTCACAGTAAGAATGAAATCTCATAGCACCATACATATATGCAAATATATGAATGCATATATGTGTATGTATATATATGCATACATACATTATATATATGGTAAAGAGACCTTAAGAGGGGCTGGAGAGATGGCTTAGTGGTTAAAAGCACTGACTACTCTTCCAGACAACTGAGTTCAATTCCCAGCACCTGCGTGGTGACTCACAACCATCTGTCGCCTCTGCTCCTTGGGATCCCATGCCCTCTTCTGGCTTCACTGGGAACTGCACTTATACATCCAGGCAAAC